GCCTTTCTGAATAAAAAGACTCATTTTATATATCTATAAAGTGAATCTTGAATGTTCTTCTATATGCGTATCCTACATTACATATAAAAGAATATTAAGTTATCCATTTCCACTCAGCTATTCAAGAAAATACTAACTATTTATTCCTAAGTGAGTTGAACAGAAGTAATATTGAAAGGAGCACCATAAATAATGCAGTGGAAAATTAAATGGAAAAACCCCAAAGTCATCCCTCCCAGGATGAGAGGTCTGCCATTGACCAGCTCCTCTCTCCTGTCCTCACCTGCTGTGCAGGCCTGTGTCCTTCACTCCTGGGTGGAGAGAGAGCCAGGACACAAGCTCTCTTCCATCTCAGGAAACATCAGGGACATCGCCTAGGACATGGCCTTCTTTCAGCATTTTCAGGGGCTGTAATTTATAATTAACTCAGCAGCTGTGCTGTGGTACGTTCATGGTTTTTAACTGTCCACACCTTAACTGATTAAGAAAAGAATATGGTGTCCATCAATCTCATTTTTATAATGTCCCTTAGAAGTGGAATTTCCAGGTTAAATGTATATAAGATGAATTTGAGGGTCGCAGAATTTTCACCTGAAACCTCAGCATATAGTTAGAGCCTGGTAGAGGAAGACTGAGTCTGCTCAGATCTATGTGGAAATCTAAAGTCAGAGAGATGGTCCAGGCAGAGGTGCAGGACAACATGGCTAAAAAAGGCTCAGATCCAGGCTGCCTCATCCTTGAGTAAGTTCACAGGAAAGCATCACACACTGCAGGCTGGACAGAAGAGAGCTGGAATCATTCCAGATCTCCTCCCTACATGCCTGAGGCCCCCTCTCTCACTCAGGGGAGCTCTGAGTGAGAAGGTCAGTCTGTTACAGAGCCCAACCTGACTGAAAGTTTTCCACCCAGGTGCAGATCTGAACTGCCACATATGGACTCACCATAGCTATGGAGCATGTCAGGAGATGGGGACACTGCAAGCAGGTCAGGGTATGAAGCCTTAAATAAGAGATGAGGCCCTCACCAGCCCCATTTCCTCCAGGAGTAACCACATCCTGCAAGAATGTGCATTAAATCTGAGTAACTGAAAGGAGTTACTCACAAAATTATATATTATAGAGATAGTTTGAAGATACAAAAGTAAATGGTAGCATCTGTAAGTAAAATGAGATGTGACCTTTAATGGATATGTCGTGTCCATTGATGTCCCCAAACTACATGCATCAGAAGGAAATAGTCTGATGAACAGAGAAATAAGGAGCACAGGCAATGGGTAAAAATCACAGCTGCTTAATAACAACAACAAATCTGGGATACAATAAATGCAGTGGTGAATTTTATCCAGTACATAATAAAGAATAAATACTGATTGTTTTTCAATTCTTTGATCAAGTTGAAGGAAAACCCACCACCAACTTCTTTTAAGTGACAAAGATAAAGTTATCCTGAGAATGAAGCCAGACAATAATGTGTTAAAAATAATATAAATGAAAACACTCTGTTGGCTAATATTCCTACCAAACATACACAAAAGTGTTCAGCTAAATGTTTGCCACGTTAACTCACCAGCATATTCAAAATTAACCAACATGATCAACACTGTGTCAATCTCACTGGTGCAAGCATGGTTCCTCTCTCACAAACTATCTGTCTCCACTGGTTTTAACATCTTGTATCTTACTATATGTGATAGTATAAAGAAAAATTTTTATAGGCAAGGAGATAATATAGAAACCATTGTTCATTTTCTGTTAACTGGCTCTAAATACCCTGTAATTCTTTCATTCTCTTGAATGGCTTCACACTGTCTTGATATGCTTGATGCTATCGTATACGAAGTTATACTCAAATAATTCAAGGAATGAGGCATTATGGTGACTACTATTATGTTAGATTATCTGGGAGTGAAACACAATTATGCTTAGATCATTCCACTCTGACCAGTGTTGTTCTATTACAATGTCCTCTTTTATCTCAACCTCCACCCTTTTTAAAAAAATTAAACTATTTTTTTATTTTTTTTCAATTAAGTGAAAACTAAATTAAAAAATAGCGGGATATATTATAGTAACTATTTGTTTTTCTATTATCCTTATTTGAATGCCAGTATTGCTCTCCCAATCTTGTTCTGTCTGATTTTACTATATTCTATTTTGTTTGATAGTATCAAGTTTGAGGGTATAGGCAACCACTTTGAAGGCAATAAGATTTACTATGATGCCCATTATAGTTTGACTATTATTTTCTTTTGAAATCTTGTAAGGTCTCCAGTGTAGGTTTTATTGGTCTTGTTCTTTACTGTTTTGATCAATTCTATTATACCTGATCATATAGGCAACTCTATTTTAAATTAGCAAGAGGCACAATGGTAACCATTTTTGATCATCTGATATTCTATTTTTGCATCATGTACTATGCCCATCTTTCTGTTCTAACTGACTCTGTTATATTTAGTCATGTTAGGATTTATTCTCTTCAAAAAATGTAATAAGAACTGTGGGAGTAAAAAACTCAAAATGTAATTGTTATTGTAAAAAAGGAAAGGAAGGAGGTCTAAGGGATATAACTGCATGCTTGAGTGTGTAGGATGGAAAAACATATTACTGAGCCTTTGTTGGATCACTGAACAGAACTTTCTGCAATCTCACTGTATGAATGTCCACTTTATAAGCTTTAATTTTATAATTTGGACCCCTGTTTCTAAGAAGAAAATATGTAACCTATTAACTAGTGATTTTTACTGTATTTTTTCTTGAAATTCTGTATTACTTGTACCCTTTTACTGCTTTGTTTTTTATTTCCTTTCTTTTTTCTCCTTAATTAAAAAAATAATCAAACCTTGAATGGATATATTTTATTTATTCATTTTTTTTTGGCACTGGAGGTCAAACTCATGACCTCACACTTGCCAGGCAGGTGCTTAAGCCACTGAGCTAAATCCCCAGCCCACCAATGGATATCTTTTACATCTTTTCATCTTCAGAGTAGTTGCCTCTATTCTTGAACTTGATACCAGCAAGCATACCAAATGTGAATAAAATCAGTCAAGGCCAAATAACATTCAAATAAGCCAGCTTCAAAGAAGATCAGTCATGGAAGACAATGTAAGTAATATAGGGATTCAGTTTTAGTTAATAGGAAATTAAGGATAATTACCATGGTATAACCTGCTATTTTTGGGTTATCTCTCTGTGCCCTCAAATCTAATATGAGTAGACAGACCAGAACAAAATATAACCAAACTAAACAGAGCAACAAGACTACTGTAGCTTTTAAATCCTGATACACTTTTAATGATGTCCTCTGCCTTCTTTTTTTAGGCAATTCCTCACCTTTCGCCTTCTCAGAATATTATTATTCACTGTTCAGAGTGATATTAGTCTAGTTTCTTATGTTCCATTTCAGCATACATAAAGATAAAGACAGCTACTACAAAGAGAATGAGACATTATGTTAGTCATTATTGACTTCCCCAAAATCAGTCTTGAAGATCAAAAAAGCCTGAATCATCCTGTAATTATTTGATTAGTTCTATAATATTCAGTACATATTCAATGTATGTGAAGATGGGAACAACTATTTGGAAGAAAACTAGAGACAGTAAGATAAGACAGTGAACATCTCCAGTGGACTTGCTTTGAAATCTGTGTTTCCTTAATGTGTTTCCTTACGAACTGTTTTGCTCTGTTTGCCATGTTTAATCTTACCCACTTTAAGAAAAAAAAAGTGTGTAGGACAGATAGGAATATTAATAACTTTTGGGTGGATCATTAAGGTAAACTCTTGACAGTGTCATTATTTGAATATCACTTTGTATGCTTTAAATTTGTAACTTGAACAACTATTTCTAAGATGACAATATGATACTAATCAACTAGTGATTTCTTATTGTTTATTTTTCTGAAATTCTGTATTATTTCTACACTTTTTTCTCTTTAAATAAACATTACAATTCACCAAAAAATATAAAATTTAAGTTTGAAAGACAAAATAATAAGTACATAGGCAGTATGCATACTTGAAAGTGAAAAGCCCATTTCAGTTTAGCATGTTTAATTACAATATGCCATGGTGAAGCACAAAAACACTTTAAAAAATCTAGAGAGGTATAAGTGATTAACTGAAAATCATAAAACATATGCAATTGAGTAGAGCTCCACCTCAGATTTGTCATTTCTGAAATATTTGTGAAGAAATATTGACATCTAACTTCTGTATTGATTATTTCTTCAGGTCTCCTTGGGATTTTTAAAGTAAACTTAGATCTAAATGGTTTGAACAGTGATGCTTTTTCTGTGTATTTAACAAGAAACATGGATTGCTATATTTCTCACATTGTTAATCCATATAGCATCTCTGCCCAGTGAGCTCTTTCAGATATGTAACAATGATCAAGTATGCTGAGAGTATTCCCATAACACATAGGATTTATCTCTTGTGTGAGATTTTTCACATATTTCACTTACAATCTGGCTGCTGAAAGTGACCCCACTTGCTTACATAGCCAGTGGTTCTTCCCAGTGTGAATTCTTTCATGTGTTTTGCAATGGCTATATGCAGTAAAAGCTTTGCCACATTGTTATATACATAGGCTTTCTCACCAGTGTGAAGTCATTGATATATTTTACAAAATCCATGTGTGGTGAAAGCTTTCCCACATTCTTCACATACACAGGGTTTCTCAACCATGTAAATTTTATAATGTATTGGACAATGAGCATTTCTGCTGAAACCTTTCCCACATTCCTTGCATATGTAAGTTTTCTGCCCAGTGTGAAGATTTTCATGCATTATGCAATATACGTGTGCTGAAACGATTCTCATGATGCCTATATAACCTGGTTTTATGTTGAATGTGAACTTTCATGTTTCTTACAAACTCCCTGTGTTTTAAAAGCTTTCCCACATTGCTTACATACATATGGTTTCTCTCCAGTGTGAATTCTTTCATGTTCCTTACACCGTCCAGGTCTGGTAAAAGCTTTCCCACATTGCTTACATTCATAGGGTTTCTCACCAGTGTGAATTCTTTCATGTTCCTTACAATATCCAGGTTTGGTAAAAGCTTTCCCACATTGCTTACATTCATAGGGTTTCTCTCCAGTGTGAATTCTTTCATGATCCTTACAATGTCCAGGTCTCATAAAAGCTTTCCCACATTGCTTACATACATAGGGTTTCTCTCCAATGTGAATTCTTTCATGATCCTTAAAACATCCAGGTCTGGTAAAAGCTTTCCCACATTGCTTACATACATATGGTTTCTCTCCAGTGTGAATTCTTTCATGTTCCTTAAAACATACAGATCTGGTAAAAGCTTTCCCACATTGCTTACATACATAGGGTTTATTTTCTGCGTGAATTTTTTCATGTTCCTTACAACATCCAGGTCTGGTAAAAGCTTTCCCACAATGCTTACATACATATGGTTTCTCTCCAGTGTGAATTCTTTCATGTTCCTTACAACGTCCAGGTCTGGTAAAAGCTTTCCCACATTGCTTACATACATAGGGTTTCTCTCCAGTGTGAATTCTTTCATGTCGCTTACAATGTCCATGTTGGGTAAAAGCTTTCCCACATTGCTTACATACATAGGGTTTCTCTGCAGTGTGAATTCTTTCATGTTCCTTACAATTTCCAGTTTGGATGCAACCTTTTCCACATTGCTTACACACATAGGGTTTCTTTCCAGTGTGAACAATTTCATGTATTTGAAAATGAATTTTACTGCTGAATGCTTTCCCACATTTCTTACATATATGCGGTTTCTGCTCAGTGTGAAGTTTTTCATGGATTATACAATAAGTACATGTGCTGAAAGCTTTCTCACAGTGCTTACATTTATAATGTTTCTCTCCAGAATGAAGACTTTCATGTACTTGACAATATGTACATGTTGCAAAAGCTTTCCCACACTGCTTACATATGTAGGGTCTCTCTCCTCTGTAAATTCTTTCGTGTTTATTACAAATTCCATGTGTAGTAAAACCTTTCCCGCATTGCTCGCATAAGTAAGATTTCCCTCCACTGCAATATTTTTCATGGATCTGAACATTGTGGTGTGTTTCTGTTTCTTTCACATTCACATCACCTTCTGCAGTACAAGGGGATACTTCTTTACACTGATTCCAAGATGTATGTCCATAAGATTTCCCTAGCTGGTCATTTCTGTAAAGAAAAAAATCACATATGGGACTTATAAGTATATTACTAAGCTTTTCTTGGAGAGTTGAACAAAACTGTTTGCAGTCTCGCTGTTTGAATCCCCACTTCATATGTTTCACTTTTGTATTTCATAACTATTTCTATGATCAGCATTTGTAATCATCATCGCGCAATTTCTTACTGTTTATTTTCACTTTGAAAGCAGTATTATTTCTACTTATTTTGTCTTATTTAATCTTTCCTTATATTAAATATCAAAAAAGAAAAATTCACAATGAAATGGGTCTCCATTTAATGACTGCATTAATATCAAGTTCTGTTTTTAATGCCTGCTAAGAAATACTGAACATGAAGCAACAGAATGGCCTTGTAAGGTATGTTGAAAACAACCATTCCCAAAAGACTGGTACACATTTGGAAATCTTAAAAGTTAGTAGTTGGAAATGCAGAATCTTTAGCTTCACTTCGGGCATGGTTACATATGTGTATCACATGCAGATTATTCTCATATGTTTTCCCATCACAATCTCCCTTCTGTCCTTAACCTGTTGTTCCCTTTTCCATATGGTCAGTCTTACTTTTCTCTAACAACTCTGTTTCATTTCATTCCACATTTTGTATTTTGGTTTCTCATCTAAAAGAAAGCCAGTGACCTTTTAGGTTTTATAGCTGAGCTATTTCACTGAATTGATGGGTGAAAGACCCATCTAATTCTTATGGCAAATGACATTACATTATTTATTTTTTGACATTATATAACACATTTTTTCTTTCCTGGGCTGGGAATGAACAACAGGTATTAGCATAAATCTATAGCTTTTTAAAAATCTATTTTTAAGAGATTTTCACTGATTATTAAGCTGTAAAGTTCAAACTTGAATTTGCCATTCTGCAAAATCTGATTCCTAATGGGCTGGGTTTACAAGAATGCACAATCACAGAGAGTCTATTAACATTTTCCTTCTCCACAAATCCAGTGATAGATAGATATGCTTCAAGGCCTGATCTGTTATAACTTGATCTGCTTTGTATATGAGTAAGCATGTATCAGTATTTTATGCAGATTTTGAGACTTTAAAATATCCAGGACAAGTATGAGGGGATCAATTTCTAGAGACAGCTGCATACTGATATTCAACATGAGTACACTAACATTCCACCAGCCTACTAAAATATTAATCAGAATCACTGATTGTCTACAGCATGGCTTGGAAACATGAGTACTCAGTTTTATTTCAATTCTATTGCAATCTTTGCAATTGTTAGATAATGAATGTGTTGTATTCACATGTATATATGGGTAGAAAAACTGAAGGCAGAATGTCATAACTCAAAGTGTATGCCTTTTGTACACATCTATATGCAATGTCATACATTTTCATGATTTAATTCCCTCATATATACACTAGCTTATACATCTATGGAGATTATTACTGACATTAAATTGAATGGTGCCTCAATTCTTTGGTGGTCATTTTTCTGTTGACTCACTAATTACTCAGGAACATTTGTCTCCTTGTGAGTGTGAATTACCTTAAGTATCTCCAGTAAATTTTGCATTCTTTTTCAGCTTCCTGGATATCCCCAAGTCCTCCTGAATTGTAGACATAGAAATACCAGGACTCAGTTGAGTAATACATACAAATTAATAGATTTTGTTTAGATTTATGATATAATGTGTCCAGGTCTGAGCTATTTTTTTAAATATTTTCATATTCTTTTTAATGAAACAGCACTAATGAGCAACAAACCATATTCTGATAGCATGAGTGACAAAAAGTTTTTATCCTTACCTATTCCAGCCATGTTCCTAAAGATTTCACCCATCACATCTCTGTAGAGGTTCTTTTGGGATGGACTCAGCAAACTCCACTCCTCATTGCTGAAGTTCACAACCACATCCTCAAAGGTCACTGCCTCCTAAAGGATCATACATATATTTCTCAAAGGAAGGTTGAGACCCTAGGTTTGGGATACCTTAAATTGTCTCCAACAAATCTGAATCAAAAGCAAAGTGTGGCGGTGCATATCTATAATCCCAGCACTCAAAAGGCGGAGACAGGAAGGCATCAGTGAGGTCAGGGCAATTCTAGGCTCCATAGGGTGTTCAAATCCAGCTGATATACATACAGTAAGCTTGTCTCAATAAAACAAAACTAAAATAAACAAATAAAGCCAAACAATACAGCTGAATAAAGACTGATTTGTTCAAATTTAAATCCGTGTCTTGGTCATTAATTTTGTGTCTATACACATTTTTGAAGACAGCAAATTTGATGCTAGATTGCAACTCACAGCTAATGTAACAGCCACATAGGAGCACTGATTCTTGTGCTGAGTCATGTCAAGATTCACTGTGCACTTTCTCTAAAGCAGAGCTCACAATGAGAAGCCTGCAGGACCAGCAACCACAAAGCACAGAGGCAGATAAATATCTCATCAATTGACTGGGAAGCCAAGCAAGAACCTCCTCTTCCTGGTCAGCGCTGGTGGTTTGGCAGACTGCAGCCCTTCCAGGGGGAAAACCAACAGCAGCTTCTGAGATCCGTGCCATGCTGGAATTTAGGACACTATGAAGTCAAGCAAGCACCACTTCTCCCTGGTAAGCAGTGGTAGTCTGGCAGATTGCGGCCCTTTCATGGGGAGAACCAGCAGCAACTTCTGAGATCAGTGCCATGTTGGAACTTAGGACACTGGGAAGCCAAGCAAACACCTCCCCTCCCTGGTGATCAGTGGCAGTCTGGAAAACTGCAGCCCTTCCAGGGGGAGAACCAGCAGCAGCTCCTAAGATCCATGCTATGTTGGAACTTAGGACGCTGTGAATCCAAACAACCAGCCTGTCTCCCTAATAAGCAATAGTGAACCTACTGATGCACCACCTAGAATCAAACATTCCACTTCCCTACCCTTCTTCTCCTGTCACCCCCCATTAGCAAATGGGAACCAGAAATCTGAGCATCTCCTGGGAAGTTGACCATAGCAAATAAGGGGGACTTCCTTTTACTATCTCTTTGAAGGAAAATATTTTTATTATTGTTTCACTATATTCTGATTAATGCTACTGCTCTATTCAATATTCTGTTTTGATAAGTTCTATAATTTTCTGTATTTCATCTCATTTTGATATATGTGATTAAAGAACAACTATTACAAAGATAACAAAATATACTGTGGTACCTATTACTGTTATCCCAGTAACCTGTTGTGAAGTTGTGTACCAATTTCACTGTATGATCTTAGTTTGCCTTATGATGCCTTGTTCTGTTGTATTTTACCAATTTCAAAATTAAATAAAAATCTCATCAATCACTTTGATAGACGACAGATGATGTCTCTTCAAATCTCATTTAGGCCAATGAATACTTTGTTCTTAATATAGTTAAGCAGAATTTGAAACATGAATTTGGATTCATAGAATAAAACATAAATAACATCAAATACAGTATATAAATAATAACTCAAGTGTTAGTGGAAAACAGCTGTATTTTAAAAATATGTATATAAAATGAAACCAGGCCCAAGCTGTAAATTATACCTCACTGTCACCAAGTGATCACTTTCAATTCAAATATAAGAAATATATCTTGGGAGGCTGGTAATGGATTTTTTCCTTGAATTTGGGGCTATCCTAAGTTACAGAGCCATCTAAAATAGACAAACCCTGATTGAGACACCGAACAGACAAAGTGAATCTTAAAAAGAGACTGCATAAGACACCTTTGGTTTGTTTTAAAAAATTATAGCCATACAATACAGAAAAATTCCAACAATACTCAACACTTTCTGAGAAACAATGTGGATATCTTCCATACTACACAAAAAACACTTTCATAGTTGGGTATTGAGCTCAGTGGCATGAAGGACTGCCTGGAAAGCATAGGTCATGTGTTCGATCCTTGGTACAAAAAAATTGAAAATTTCATCTTCATGACACTGGGGCATAATTAGAGATAATCAAATTAGATCTCAGGTATGGAACACAAAAATCATGGGTTGACAGGGATGTGGAATACTGATTGTTGCCAAAGCTGGTGTTGATCACCTCAATGAAGCAATTAGAGCCCAACTTTACTTCATACTTACTCTAAAAACTACCTGACTTTCAGTGAAGACCCCCTCTGTTGTATGTCCTGCTATTTGCTGCCTGCATCCTGTCAGTCACTTCCACATCTTTTCCACACTCCTCTGATCCACCCAAACAGAAAAAACTTCGTGCCTAACTATTGATATCACTGCAAAATTTCTATGTAGGGCATCTCATTTACACCATTTAGATATGTCCATTGTAGGGAATTTTCATATTTAAACTGTCTATTAACACCCAAGCTACTAAATCAGCTCTTATTTCAGAGATGACACCCATATTCCTTCCCATTCAGAAGGATATCACGTGTATATGTCCATGCAAATGCCTACATTTTGGCATTTTTCGATGAGAATTTAACAGGTAGCCCTTTCTGGAATTTGTCCTTCACAAATTTTTACCCTGTCCTTGACAACACTTTCATATTTGCTTCATTTTTCTCAGACTTCAAAACTCTATGGCTGTTCTCACAAACCTAGTCTGTGAGCAGGGGTGACACCTAAATGACTAAGTATATTCAGAAATTATTTTGCAATGTTCTGTATAATACACATGAGTTCACCAGTTGTTTGGGAAGCCTTTCTCCACCGAGGCACACTACTACATATCTCTGAATTCTCACAACCTTTGTCACTACCTGTCATGAGGATGGAAATAGGAGAACATACTATAAATTTAGGAGATCACTATAAATACAAAAAAGCCCAAGTTTAAGTTGAGCCATTGTGGCTATGAGGCCCTGCATTACATACATTAATAAACTCTGGATATTCCAGATCTGCTACTCTGAGGAAAGAGAGCATAGACCTAGCTCATTACTGCTCTACAAGCTACAAAAGCATAATAGTCAGGGTCTTCCCAAACTCCTCCCAATGCCTAAGATGGTGGACTTACCAGGCTAGCAGTGAATTTCAGAGATGATACTTGAGTCTGCTGCTGTCATAGTGAAGCCAGGGTTCTGGGGACCCCAAATTACCCTTGCCAACAGCAAGAGGCCAAATGGATATTGAATGACCCATGGCCAAAGCTGGAGGACCTCAGGAGCTGAAGCTAACTAAATACCTGAGGCTCCAGACACCAGAACTACTCTTAAACCCTTGTAACTGGTTTCACCCAATCCATTCTATTTCTGGGCTCCTATCCACAACCTCACTATTCCATGTATCCAGGATCTCTCAGGTTCTTTGCTAATCAGTCCCCAGGACATCAAAAGTACTAAATGAGATCCAGCAAGCATTTTGCTACCACTGTTGTACTCAGAACAGGTAAATCATGCTGAGACAGGGGAAAAGACAGAAGTCACAGCCAGCAAAGGCCCACCTGATTGGACAGTTCATATAGCCTGCCCCTTCATCACTGATTGACTCCTGCTCTACTGCCCTCCTTCTGAGTCAAGAATAAACAGAGAAAGGAACCCCTACCTGCAAGAGAGAATCCCAAAAGATAGACTGTAGTGCAGAGACTTCTGGAGATGCCATTCTTCTACAGTGGTGAACTCAGCTCGACAGAGGAGTGTTTGCATTGAAGAGCCTTACCCCAGACTTTTAATTTTTAAATCCATTTTATTTCAAGGAAAAAAGAACACATCAAGTAAAATTAAATTTCAAAACATGTCATTCAGGGAGCAACAATGGATATACATTGCACACTGTCATCCCCAGATCATTCACCCAGAGCACAAGACATCTGTAATCAATTTTCCAAACAGTACTGTTACAGGGACCTGAGATATTTAAATATTATTGGCATGAGACATGGCTAGGTCCCCCAAGGAGCCATGCAGGAGACCAGATACCTTGCAACTATGGGGAAGACTGACACCTCATGCTATGGGCCAAGGCTCAAGACAAATGATAAGCAAATTCATCCATATCCTAAGGATTGATATTCGAAATTGTTCCCTAGCACTCTGAGGAAGTAAGGAGTCACCATTTAAAGAAATGTATCCTTATCCTAAAGACTAACATTCTAAATAGTACCTTTCATCCTGAGGAACTCAGGAGTCAACCTCCCATACCCCTAAGGGAAGAGACGCAGCTGCCTAAGAATGCCAGCTTTCTATGTCACTCCCTTCCCCCTTGTTATCAATTTAATCAACTTTACATGAACTTATAATCTTATTGGCTACCATAACTCTGTCCAATCTTATGCCCATCTGCGTTATCAGTTCTTAGTTTTCCCCACCTTAAACTCACTTCACCACATGATTTTATTCTATAAAGGTCCCTAGAATGGACAGTGTTTGGCAACCTGCTCAGGATACCTTCTCTCTCTCAGGCAGCTTTTTTTCTCTCAATAAGTATATTCTTCTCTTAATCTCTGTTGTTCCTAAAATTCATTCTTGGACTTTACAGGACAAAAACCTAATATCAGACATAGTAGACTGGGAGATTCATTCCAGTATGTCAATATCAGTATAAACTTTTATCTTTCTTGAAGTCAGAGAAATCCAGTAGTTTGTATCACACATTGTTGATCTCACCATGCCATGGATACTTGCATTTAAGGCTTTTATCCCTGCCTTTAAGTTGTGCTTCCTTTTCTGAAACTGAACTGATCTGTAATTTTGATTATGGTATTGACAATGCATTAAGGAATTGACTCAAAATATTTCTTATGAATGTTTTACCAACAGCCATGGAGGTAGACAGAGAGCAAAAATTCTTTGTTTTGATTTCTTCATTCAAACCAAAGGATGTACTTGAAAGAGCTTTGCCCTTCA